TACCACCCTGGATCCATTTGGCTCCACACGCCCCGGGCAGTGAGATGTGATCTGTTCCGCACTGCATTGTTCACAAAAATCTCTTCTATCACCACATGTTCTTCTTTTATGTACCCTTGGCAATGAACGTGATTCAGGGGTTTGGCCCTCGATTCTGACCCGTGTATCCCATGCTTGTACTTAAGTTCCAGAGTCGGCCCAAAGAGGTTTCTTAAAACAAAAAGCACAATACGTGAGTATGTGTGGGAAAATATGTCTGAAATGATGGAGCGCTCCTCTACCTCAGGTTGTTCTACTCAAAGTAATTTGGTGCATGAAATTGCAGGAGTAAAGGGGATTGCACAACATAAAGTGCTGGAGTACAGATTAGTGTCGGTAAAGGGGCCGACTTGACCTCAGGCTTGAATATGAAATCTAACAGGTTTATATCGGCGCTCTCAAAGCAAAGGCAAAGAATAGCGTGTGACTGTTAACATCGTGTTTTTTAAATCTTTATTAGGAAAAACATGGCAGGTGTAAATGTACACATTACAGTCCGAATTTGATCTGATCTGTTCAACCAACGTCACATTCTAATTGATATTCAGCCACATTTGAACCCCTTGTGTCCTCGGGGACAGAGCTCATGGTACGAGGACCACATGCAGAGCAGCTCCAGCATGACTCATCTTCATCTTCAACACCTGGTTGTTGTTTTTATTCCATTCACTTCACCTCCTCGTCTGCTTTGCGTAGTGAAAAATGACATCCGATCTCAGTGCACACAGATTGCAGACAACGAGAATACATAAAATAGGTGATTTTTTTATTATTATTATTTATTTTTCCTCCCCAAGATGCCCAGACTGCTTTTTACTGCCAGGTGTAAATTAATTTGGATGTTGCTTGACAGCTTTGGCACGCCTTCTGAAGCAAACATTTGCAAGAAGTAACGTTAGCCATGCAGCACATTGCTTTGTTCTTAATGTCAAACGTAAAGGGACAGTTCACCCCCAAATCCAAAAGATACCTAGGTTCCTCTTGACTGCAGTTCTATTTATTAATATTTTGTCAATCAACTCGGCTTTCAACCATAGTTTTTACTTGAAACTGCTCACAATACGTCTGTGGATTATCTTAAATAATTTAGTCACTTTGAGCACCACCAGTCCCAATATATTTGATTAAACTCACACCAAACAATCTAGATTGAAACAATAGCACCACAGGTCAGAGGGACAACACGTATCTTTGATTTTGGGAAAACAAAGAAAAAGAGAGAACTTTTAGCCAACAAGCCAAATGCCCTGCAACCAAAGTGTTTTAAGGTGTTGTTGTGTTGTGCTGACTTGGGCCAGCGGCCCGGGACATCAATACTTAACCCACTACGTTGCTTTGGCAATCACCAGCGAGGCCGAGTGCGTCGAGAGCGATAATGACCGGCTGTGAGCGGAGTAGCATCAACACCGACTAACTAGTTGAGAAACGGAACGCTGCGAGAATAAAAGGGAGGATAATCCGAATCCTGTGACATTTCTGTGAAGAAAGAAGAGTACAGAGGATTTTCTTCTGCACCGAAAGGAGGCAGTGACTTCTGATACTGAGCCTCGTGCGTGTCTGTGTGCGCGCTAACTTGCTAGAGCGTGGGTGTGTGTAAACATGTGCCTGTGCGAGCATTAATTCACATGTAGACATGTTTACTTTCCCTCTAAAACTAACACAGTTCTCAAAGGTGTGTGTAGCTGCTGGCGTTTGCGGTCTGAACAGCATCGGGGCCCACAATCATTACTGGCGAGAAAGCGTGTGTGCACGTGCGCGCTTTGCATGCTGTGTGCACGTGCGCGCTTTGCATGCTGTTGCTGTGTGCACGTGCGCACTTTGCATGCTGTTGCTGTGTGCACGTGCGCACTTTGCATGCTGTGTGCACGTGCGCACTTTGCTTGCTGTGTGCATGTGCGCACTTTGCATGCTGTGTGCACGTGCGCACTTTGCTTGCTGTGTGCACGTGCGCACTTTGCATGCTGTGTGCACGTGCGCACTTTGCATGCTGTGCGCACACGCTCCGAGAGCTGTAGCCAATCGGTTGTTACAGGGCATCTAAATCAGGGAAGGGCCTCTGTCGAGTATCTGTCTGTGTGTGTGTGTGTGTGTGTGTGTGTGTGTGAGTGTGAGTGTGAGTGAGAGAGAGAGCGATATCGCTGAGAGCCAGATGAAGAGTGAAAGAAGAAATGCCACATAGATACTGAGCGGGGTAAAGAGAGGGACCTGTGTGTGTGTGTGTGTGTGTGTGTGGGTGGGCCATTTTGAAGGAGTGTGTTTCTCATCATTAGGGGGAAGCATGGAGGAAGAGTGAAGGGAATGTGTGTGTTGGTGTGCGTGGCAGCCACAGGCTCACAGAGCAGCCTGATAATGAACACATTGATCCGCTACAGCAGAGAGGGAAAGGACAAACCTCCATGTGTTAACGGAGTCTGCAAACCCTCTCCATTGTTTTTAGAGTCGTCCGTTAATAGCGCCTGTTTGTGTTGTTTGTCTCTCATTCTCTGTCACGCTCCTCTCCACGTTGTTTTTTTTAATTCATACCTTTTGATCACTCCCATTAGGTTTGTTTACGCGTATAAATATTAGATGAAGTTCACATCAAATATAGGAAAAATTCCAAACAGGTTAAATGTCAAAACGTTCCAAGGCCAATTTAAAAAAAAGAAAAAGAACTCTCCTCCAAAGGAGGTAATAACAAATACAAATCTGAAATCTTTCCTTGTTGTTGCTCTTTTTCAACCTTGGACCTTGTCTAATTTGGGAAAATATCGTCCGTCAGTAAAGACGTATGAGATATAGAGAAATAGTTCAACATCTTGTTGTTTTTTTTTCCTTCCTTGCCAAGAGTTAGATGAGAAGGTCGATACCTCGCTCAAACCTGTACAGTAAATATGATGCCACTGCCAGTAGCTGGTTAGCTTAGCTTAGCACAAAGTCTGGAAATGGGGATGCGCGAGACATAAAGTGTTCTTTCGTAAGCTTGGACCTGCTGCTGGTAGGCAGAGATTGTTACCTTTGGATGACGCTAGGCTAGCTGTTGCCTCTTGTTACCAGCCTTGATGCTAAGCTAAACCTAACCAGCTTGCTTTGACCAGTCTGCAGTAGGCTACAGTCGACGCTTCAATTTTGATTGTATAGAAATGTAAAATACGACAATGTCCAGATTTCACATAGCTGCTTATTTCCCCCAATTACAAGGGCATGCATGGCAGCAGCATATCGTAATGCAGTTATCCTGCCGGAGACTATAAATGGATGAAAATATGACGACCACAGGTCTCTGAAGTCATATTGCAATTACTGTTTTGGTCCGCAGCCCAAGGCCTGGGCACAGTGCAGTACAGCTGTACAAATCCCTCGGCTCTCCTCTGTTTCTGCTGTCCAGCTCTCTGAGTCTGAGGATACGCAGTCATTTTGTGTGCATCAGAGAATGAAACCCGCCTCTATAAATGGTGCTTTATTGGCTCTATACATTGACAAAGTGGGAGATGTCTCTTTCTTCTGCTTTAACTCCCTGTCTCTGGAATGAGACTTTTCCTTGTCAGCTGAAATATAGATATTGCTCTGTGTGTCTTTCTTCTCTCTGCTCCTAATAAAAGACGGAGATGTAAAGAAACTCAGGCCCTCTGTTACTATACATCTCATTCTGCCTGTATCGGTGCGCTTTATTCACCCGAGCACATTGATCTCTCCGCTGCATCTCCCCCTCTCCCCCTCTCTCTCTCTCTGTGCTGGTAATGAGGTATGTGTAAGTGTGGTTCCTGAGTGACTGTGCTGAACAATTATTTCAAGCCACTCTGGGTCTGCGTGGGTCGGCTAAACGTCCAAATTGTGGTTGTAAATTCTGTCCATCTGTGGGTTATATTTAATGTGAGCCGTTTGTATCCTTACGCCCGTGTGTGTGTGTGTGTGTGTGTGTGTGTGTGTGTGTGTGTGTGACAGAGAGATCTGTTTGTGGGCTGTACATATGTAGATAGTGAGGCGGATGTTGCATTTGTGGGCTTAGAAGGAGCTGCATTAAACCCAATAGCCAGGAGGTCCTTGGGGAATCTTGTTGCGTGTGTTTATGTGCATTTATGAATAAAAAAAAGGATACTTGAATGCAGGGGTCATGAGTGGCTTCTTTTTAAATGTCGCTTAAGACTCCGACATGTTTGGGGTCATATGCAAAGACACTCTTGGCAAAAAAGAGAAATAATCTTTCCACACAGTTTACATTCCTTCACTCGCTACCTTCCCTTGGGGACATTAAACAATGACTAACACATCTAAAGCTGCTCCAAGACCACATTACCACATCCTCCTTTCACTGAATCCTTCCAACTAGCATTCCTTTCTACTAATCTCCCCCCTCCTCCCTTTTTCTTCTGTCAATCTCCCCCCCCCCCCCTTTACCCCCCTTTTCACTGTGTTCGCCTCAACTATTCAAAGCAGTCTACTCGTGTTATTAAGACAGGCTTACCAAAGTGGGGGGAAAAAAATAAGCAACAAATGTAGCAATGAAATTAACTGCTAACAATTACATCTCTCCTCTCTCATCCCCCCCCCCCCCCTCCTTTTGTTAATTTAGAGAGCTTAATTGGCGTGATAATACTTTTGAGGCAAACAAACAACAACAACATAGAAACGGAATGTAATTACTTTCAACAGTTGACTTTGTCTCTCTGCTCTGATTGTGTGTGTGTGTGTGTGTTTTGTCTGTTGAAGCTGAGATTGTGCAGCGGTCTCCGTTATTTGAATGTGGCTCTTTAGAGAAATCTTGTCTTCAAAAGAACTGCTCTCGTTTCTTTCATGCGATTCATTTGCAGAACAGGACTGACTGATTGCTTTCTTGACTGTCTTGTCTCTCTATACGATGTATTCTGTTGCTGCAGCTACCTCGGCACGCTCGAAAACCCTTTGTGTAAAACGCTCAATAAAGGCGGCAACGGATTCTAAACCTCCCCCTCTTGTTTATCCACCTGTCTCTCCATCTCTAGACCAACATCCCGTTCCTCCAGAATGTTTTCAACAACCACCAGTTCCTCCACTCCACCGTGGACACCCAGTTCATCGACGAGAACCAGGAACTCTTCAACCTGAAGCCCACCCAGAACCGAGCCCAGAAGCTCCTGCACTACCTGGGTGAGTGCATACGCAGCACACACGCGCTCAAATGCTGCGACGTCACAGCTGTGTTTCTGACTGCCTTATATCTAGTGGTAAGTTCAGTCTGTTTCAAACTGTACATTCAACTCGGCCTATATTTAATCAGCCGGGATTATAAGGATAACCCCTCTGAAATATCCTATGAGCTATCATTCCATGATTGTTTCTGTGGCTTCCACAGTCGTTTATCCAGCGTTTAATCAGGAAGTAACTGTATTAGCTGAGCTGATCGTGGTGATTCCAGTGAGCGGACCGCCAATGCAAAACAACATTTTGTCAGTGCAGAATTATGACTTTCTGGCTCAGACAAAAAATGACAGACGGCTATAATGCTTATAATGGATCCAATAACAACATTTAAATCTGGGATATTACAGTTGGAGGATAAAAACCAGAGAGGGAAGAAGTGCCGAGCTGGTTTGTATACGACTCAAACTTTAAACCGGTGGTGTTTAATCCAAGTTTCCACCAATTGGCAGAAAAAGAAAAGGTGTCATGCTCTACAGAACTGCATCTGACTTGTATTCTCTTTTTGTATACTTCAGGTCATGTGATGGTAAATGGACCAACCACACCCATCCCAGTCAAGGCCAAGCCTTCCTCCATAGACCCCGTCATCCCTCCTGGCACCATGGGTATGTCAATCGCATGCAATTCAGCCAATAGCGATGCAGAATTCACACTCTTATCACACGTTATTATGCCAACCCAGTCACCTCCTTTATCCCCCTATCAAAATAAGATGTTATACCCTGCCAAAGCATTTAAAGCAGTTTGTGCAATAAAGCTTCAGCAATGGGAAAAGTGTAGCTCTGTGTGCAGGGCAACATGTCAACAAGACCAGCAACTGATAATTGAATATTGTCTTTGCGTTATTCTTTTGAAAGCATCACTGACCAATGTTACCATAATAATGCCACAATGCATCACCCTTATTGCATGTATTACATTTGGACTAATTTAGCAAGGTACTGCCACTGCAAGGGTTAGGGGTTTCATTTCTCCCGGGACTCCCATGCTAAAAATGTAAACACTTGTGGATCCGTGGGGCACTTTGGATAAAAGCCCCCGCTGAATGACAAATGGGCTGTCGACCAGGCCGATAGCTGTAGGCGGAAAGGCCTTCCTAAATGGCTCAGTTTAGCACTCAGGGAGGAAAAGGGTTTTGGCCCAGAGTGCTCCGCTGAGCTGTGAGTACAGGGACGAGAGGGTGCAGTTCATTGTTCGTGAAGGCAGAAGTTCTGTGCTTCTCACCCTGCTCTGCACCAGCAACTCTGGACTCTCTCAGGAAAGGCCCAAGGCCAAGCTGGGCTCTTTGACGAGCTTGTTGAGCCACTTAGAGTCTCTGGAGCCGAGCTCTGTGGTTCTTTTTTTCATTTTCTCCGTTCACTAACTAGAGTGTCTTCGTGAGTTTTGAAAGGTTAAACTAAGGCTGAAATATAAAAATATTCATTTTGAAATGACGATTAGAGGTGCTAATTTTTTACAACTAAATATGCTTTTTTTTTTTTAAGTATTGAAATGTAGAAAATGTGTCTTATCTGTGGCCATTTTGCCACTGTGCTCCCAGGTGTATTTTTTTTGTGAGTTGGTGCAGACTGGCATGGATTGCTGCAGCTGCTTCTTTTGACAGCAACAAAATAGTGAGCTGTATCAATTTGACATGTTTATCAGCACCCTGTTCTGCCTCAGCACATACCCCGGCGTGCCCAGTAAACACCAATTTATACCAAAATAATGTGAATAATATGAATCCTAATCGGGCATAATTTATCAAATCTGACATCTAAAAACCACGCACAGTGGAACGTAATGGAGTAGAATAGGACAATCTAATCTGCCGTGTTTGTGTGAGTCTGCCTGTGAGTGAGTGAGCGTGCATCTCTGCGTGCTTACCCACCACTAGTCTTCTTATGGAAATCTTCTGTTCACGGCTATCATTGCCCATCCCTCTTATTGCAGCAGGCACACAGTATTGACTCTTGAAAATCACACACATGCACTGTACTGAGCAGGTACTCTATAGGCAGAACCCCCCCCCCCCCCCCCCCCTTCCTGTAAGCAGCTGATGAAGCAGTTGTATGCAGCACAGGCACGCACAGAGGCATACCTAAAGCCTAGTAATGAGATTTGTAATGTGCTTATATCCTTTCTTTCATTCGGCGGAGGGATTGGGAGAAGAGAGGGATTAGGGCTGTATTATCACACTCTGTGGATGGATGGAGGGAGGGGCATGGAAGGAGAGGAGGGGGTTCGGGCATAATCCCCATATGTGGAGGAAATCGCCACAGTGGTGGGCAGGGAGATATACACTGACGGAGATAGATGCATGAGAAAAGAGGGCAGGATGAGGAGTATTACTGTGAACAGAGAGGAGCAAAGATCAGAACATTGTCATCTCATAACATCACACCTACAGATAAGGAGAAAGAGGAAGGGTGACGAGAAAGGCTATTATCCTGGAGTTCCCTCCACAGCGAGGAGAGAGGGCAGTGAAAGTGTTCCTGAAAGACAGGCCGAGGGTGTCCTGACACAACATGTTAAGTACTGAAAGCCATTATTTTCTAATTAGGATTTGTGGTTTAAATCGTTTCCCTGTGAAGGCTGATTGCTGGTGCTTCATCGATGGTGTAGAAGTACACCTTGTTCCAATTATTGTCTGGATTTATTTAATGGAGGACATGTAGAGGTTAATCACCAGATGCCTGTGAGCTAGCTTTAGGAAGTCTGACTAATAAAAAAGACGGACTACTTTCCTCCTCCTATTTGTGAGCTGTATTTCCACTCTTCGGGTTACAGTAGAAGGGGAGTTTGTAGCACAATATGCTAAATCTGTGCACAAATGGAATTAATGTCTTGAATAATTTTCCTGTTTCTAGTTTGTGATGCTTTCATTAGCCATCTTCAAACAGAAAGGACTGTATTTATTTCTTTGTTTTGCTTTTGTTTAGCTCCAACACTCATTTCCAGGTAGCTTAAAAGGAGTCATAAAGAGTCTTAAATGTGGCTTTCTGAATCCTCAAGATACTCTGTGCGTGTGTACTGCAAGGTAACTTTCTTTCTTCTTCTTTGTTCTTAAAACATTTCTTTCAATTTGTTTGTTTCACACCTCCAATACAGCTATTTTGAGGAAAACAAATCCCCTTTTTCTTGAAGCTGGTGTCAGTCAAAAGTTTTCCAGCAGGCAGTGTTTTAGAAGTTGTGGCAAATAGCAAACAATAACTAAATGTAACATACATATTTGGTAAAGCTATAAAGCTTTTCTGTAGCACACAGTCTTACAACTCTTTAACAAGTCTGCTTTTAACATGTTCCGGCTTAATTGATTGGCTCTTCCAGCACACCTAACTGTCATAAAGCATCGATTAGTACTCCCACCAGGATGTGCCAATTAAAAGTTCCCTAAACACAAAGATACAAGACATTTACCAGTCTTCTCAGGAGGCAGATGCCAGCACAGGACGGTGATGACTCAAGCTGTTATTTCTCTGAGATTATCTTCTGCACAAATTGCACATAAAGAAGTGCCTCTGAGCATTGTGGCTATCGCTCTGCCTGGTCACATTAGCCGGGGATGAGTTGAGTGTGAAGAGAGGGCCCAACGAGTAAAGAGGTATGAACTGACACCAGCCTGAGATAAACAGGGGGAGACGTGAGGGCTCAGAAGCTAGGTAGTGGGAGCGGGGTGTTTTCAATGCAAAGAAAAGTGTGTGCGTAAGTGGGTCAATTGTCAAGCACAGCATCCGCTTGGGACTTCTATCTCTTTATTACTTTTTGTTTCTGCACTGCACGATACGACACACAAATCCACTCGAACGCTGCGACTGCCTCTCTCTTGGAAACGTATCGCATGCACAGGCCATTGTTTGGTCCCAGTAGTCCCAGTACACGAGACCTAATTAACTATCCATTATGTTAGAGTGGTGTAAAAAAACCATAGAAAGCACGTTTGTGTGAGAAATGGGAGGACTTTGAGAATGAATACTCTTCTTCTGTGTAGGTGTGCGGGGTGTTCTCCACTCAGCCGTATTATACGCAGATCTTGATAAGTTCAAAGTGTCCGTATCTATTTGCTACGGCGGTGTGATTTCACAGAGCTCATCTAGGCCTCGCGAATATTAAGCGACGCAGAGATGGAGAGAAAGTCAGATGGGGTAGAGAGAGAGAGAGAGAGGGAGAGAGAGAGGGACAGAGGGTTGAGGACAACTGAGCAGGCAGACCTCATTTACTAATCTAATTGATTGATTATTGTACACACTGCAGCAAAAATAGATCTCAATTCCACCTCCAATATTTGATTGCCTCTGGTTGTGCTTGTGTTAAATTGCAAGGCAAAGAGCAGGATTAGAATAGGAGGGTTGGTTAAGGCAGAGCCTGTAGGGAAAACGTTTCTGCACTGTTTAATTTGTTTGTTTTGAGAACTACTTAGTTTTTATGAACCGGAAAATACGGCATTTGTCTTGGGGATTCCTCAGCGATGGATTATATTCCTCCTTGTGGAAGCTTTTAGCAACTGATATCGGTTATGCCAACATGTTCGGCAGTCTTCATCCTTGGTTTCTCGGGGAGTGCATGGATCCTACAAGGTTTCTGAAAAACTCTTATTGAATATTGTTCATGTGATGTACCCGTTTCTAGCTCATACACAAGCTTGCATAGCTCTTGTCTTTTGTTAGAGCAGCATCGCTCCATGGATGTTGATCCACCAACGTTGTTCCAGGCTGAATTATCTGTAGGATGGATTGCTATGAAATTATTTATAAGGCATTCATGGTCTCCAGAGGATAAGCCTGGCATTTTATATAGAGGCCACCAGCAGGTCAACATTTTCACTTCTCCATTATATCGCAACAGAATGGATTGGAAGACATTTTTTTTACAGACATCCAGGATCTCCAGAAGATTGATCATAATAACTTTCGTGTTTACCTGATATGTCCTTTTTGTGCTATCGTTTGAGTTTCACTTTTTGTGGTTTTCAGTGAAATATCTCAACTATTGGATGGATTGCCATGACATTTGGTACAGACAAGCGTTCCCCACGGGACGAATCATAATGACTTTGTGCCATCATCAGGTCAAAATGTTATTTCTGCGATACCAAGTACCTGCAAAACCTTCCCATGTTTACTTTGTGTTAAGTGCTAATTAGGAGCTGTTAGTGTGCATTGACTAAGAGCTAGCATGGCTGTAGACTTTGGGTCTGGGGATATTCAGCAGACATACTCGTTGGAGAATTTTAAGACTCATGTTTTATATATTTATATATATAAAACATATCAATATGCCAAAGAACATAGATTCTTAAAGGGTACAAAATATAGAATTCCAATGTAATCCATGTGGAGCTGCCTCCACACTTGAAAATAGAACATAAACGTATGTCATGCTCAAATACGGTCATCACGACAGCAGCTCTCTGATTGCTGGTGTAAATTTGGGACCTAAAAACAGGGTCACAGGCCTGATAAGGCTGAGAAATAAGAGACGCATGAAAAGTGCAATAGCAGCCATTCTGGATCCGGTTTGCCTTCGGGTGGCAAACGTACAGTACCGAGCTCAGTCACTGGGATCTTTTGTTTCACTAAACAGTAGCTGCTTACTTTAAATAGAAACATCATGGCCGAATGAGTCACTGTCAGCAGGAGAAAATCCATTTTTACAAATCGGTGGGTGGTGTGTCTAATAAGATGGCTGCTGGGCTTGAGTTCTCGTTTTCTTTTCTAGTTGATCTACTTGAGTCAAGTGTTGTCAAAAGCACAACTTAAAAGAGAACACTGTGTAAATCACTTGGCTTACCTGCTCGCCCGGGCTACTCAAACATCTTGTGCACTTAGTCAAAACAATTATCAACAAAATCTGTTAGAATTTAGTTGAACATTTCCTCTTGATTTCTCACAAACTGCTATTTCACATATAACCCGTTTCCCTTTCATTCTCCCCCTGTATCCTTCTTCTCGACATTAATTCTCCTTTCTCTCCCTCCTTCGCTAATAGGCGACCCTCCAGTAGGTTTCCGGGACGTGTTGCTGCGTGACGGTCCCGAGGGGTTCGCCAAGGCTGTCCGTGCCCACCAAGGCCTGCTGCTCATGGATACCACCTTCAGGGATGCCCACCAATCGCTCCTGGCCACCAGGGTTCGGACCCACGACCTGAAGAAGATCTCGCCATTCGTCAGCCACAACTTCAGCAACCTCTTCAGCGTGGAGAACTGGGGAGGTGGGTGTCTTTTGTGCTGAACGACAACATATGGAATCTTTTCATCGCTGTGAAATAGTTCCACAAGTTATTGTTTCAGTACCGATTAAACAGAAGGTGCTGGTTGGCAGAGCTAGGCCAGCAGTTTCCCACTGCTTCCAGTCTTCAGGCTAAGCTAACTGTCTCCTTGTTCCAGCTTTATTTCTTAGCGTAGAAACATTAAAGTGGTATCAAATTACATAGATACAAGAACCTGCAGCAACACCACGATTTGACACTCGGAAGATTCCTAGTAATGAGGAAATACCCACGATATGTGATCTCATACGAGCAGTCATGATAAGCCTGAATTTCCCTTTTCTGATGGTTATCATTTTAATTAAAACTCTTTCTGTATGTGCTCCCACGTTTTAATGCTTCGTAACAGCGATGCCTGTCCTCTCCATTCTCTTCCCACTCTCGCTGTAGATCCGCTCCGTGTTTCGTTTGTGACAGTGATTGTACCTCTTTGTTTTTCTTCTTTGAGCTGTGAAAATCATGTGCCATTTGAAAGCATATCTCATGCCTCCATCGCCTCTCTCCCACAAGTCAGTCTTCAGCGAGTTCCCTCAACAGACAATGATAGTACTTCTTGCCTTGCTCTTGAATGAATAGAGAAAATCACCCGTTATTGAAACCTCGTGAGGCACGAACAGTCCAATAGCGTCCCTTGATAATTTGCAATTACTCTGAAATTGGCCAGAGAACAAAAACGACGTGTCTCATGCCTGAACAGTCGACGACAAGACCAATTATCAACACTTCTTGATAATGGTCCGATGTGAAGTGCAATTGTTATGAACTGGTTTCAAATAGTAAATTCAGCTCTCCTTAGGATACTCACATTTGTGGAAGAGATATGCCCAGTGAACCTCTTGAGGTTGAAACATTTAATTTAATGCTCAATTATAGAAAACCACTCAGAGCGATTATGCTTATTTTACTTGGAGTGCTTTCAGTGGATCACAAGAACAAACATAAGAACCGAGCAACAAAGGCCTGAAGTAAAAAGGGTTTCTGTTCCAGTGACTGTGCTCATCGTTAGATGGTTAAACAAAGTGAGAAAAAAAACAAAAAACGCAAGGAGAGAAACTCTCCAGTGAAACCTTTTCAGTGCTTTCGAAGGTTGAATTCCTCCTGCTTAGCTGATCACGACACACGTTCATTACTGTGGGAGAGCATATTGAGCACACGTCACATCAAGTAACTGTCTACTCACCTCATGTTTAAACAGATTAAAGAGGTTATTGCAAAAAGATATTTGGATATGACTGGCGTCTTGACGAGACTGACCAGAGAAAGATGACACCGGTTCAAGTTAGCCATGTTTGAGGAGTTACATTAAAAGTAAATCTTTGAAGAGAGCCCGTGAAAACCTCTCAGTGAACTCGGTTCTTCACTCTGCAGGATATTGTTAAAAAGGTGCCACTCTACTCTCTGCATGTCTCATTATACTGTGTGAGCCAGTTCTGAAAGGGGAAAGGGCTTCCATTAAGGGACATTCATTCCTTTTTAACAGTTTGTTGTCTTATATTTGAAGACTTTAAAAAAAAAAGACTTGCGTCCACCATTCTTCAGCACACATTAAAATGTTGTTTACCGTCATTTACAGTCATGCAGCCATAACAGCGCCTCTCTGAGGGCTTTGCTCCTGAGGATCCTACCACTCTCCGACAGCGTCTCCCTGCGTCTACACACAGTCCAGTGGGGCTGATAGTTAATCTCATAGCACAGTAATTCATGTCTATATGTTTTACTAATGAAAGAGCACAAACTCAGCTTTCCATCAGGTTCTTCATCTGTGTGAGAAACGGGAAACTGTCAACCAAACCTGATAGAAAGCATGCTTTGAGACCGCTTCATGGTTGAGCATTCAAGATGTTAGTTTAGTATGAGCTTCCTGTTTGCTAAACCAAGCCCTATCGTGGGCTTTGAAAGCCTAAACCAATGGCCCATTGAACTGAACAAAAGCCGGAGAGATGCAGTGTGGTAAGATTTTCTCAACTAAACCTCAACATCAATGATTCCAAAGATACATTTAATAAGGTTTTGCCATAAACAGTTTTAAACAAATCATAGAAACATGACATAATGTCACCACTCACTTCAACTGACTATTCTGCCAAGCACATGATCATTCTAAGCTGAGCTGACAATATGGTAAAGACTCTTAATGTGGGCATTTGCTACAGTGAAAGCTCAAGGTAAACACCGTAGAACAGTCTGGCCGCCAAATCGAATCCAGTTATGATAAAACGACGAGAGAGAGCGCGCTGAATACATCTTCCTTTTGTGTCTTTCCGTCTAAACGCTCTCATAAAGCTGTGGATGTGTGAATTGCGGTGGGAGTCGAGTTTCGAAAATCTTCCGTCAATGAAAGCTCTTGAAGTTCAAACAGTGCTCTGTCTTCATAAAAAAGTCAGAGCGAGTGAATATATGCGTGCCTCGCTCCCATTTATACCACGACAGCCATAGTACATCATTGAAATCACGCGAAGGAACAGGAGTCAGACACTTAAACACCTCCTGACACGATGGTTCTGTGATGGGCCGATGTTATGAGCCGAGCAGATTGTCTCGCTCATTTAAGAAAAGTTGCCGAGAGAGCGAACGAGTGAATCGGCGAAGAGAAATGTAATATGCTAGTGGATCCTCTTGAGCTGTCGGTGCCTCCTACATGATGTGATCATGAGTCAGAGAGCACAGAATAGTACGTTCACGATAATCTAAACACTTAAAGGCGGAATTCATTCTTGAGATATGATCCCTCTGAATCCCTCCTGCATCTGCCACCCGGCCTTTAACACAAAGTTCAGCTCAGTTGCTTGTTTTTCGCTTTTCTTACACACAAACATAATCCGTGTTATTTTTTTACAGCAGCTCTTCTACTCTAAAAGAAGCCAAACCAGTGTTCACGAAATCCGTTTCATCGTGGGTTATGCATTTATTTCCCCTTGGTTTTATATATTGCCTTTTATGACTGTCCTATCTACTTCCTTCCCTTTTTTCTCTTTGAAGTGCCGGGCCCAATCGGACACACCATCAGGTGTTATTTTCTCACACGGCTCCTCCAGAGCCACACACGGCATTACAATACTGCTTTCACAGGATGAGTGGTTACTCACCTTGTGGAGCGTATACTTCGTGAGGGGAAATTATACGAGTGCCTCTTTGATAAGACAACGTTGTAATCTTTTACCGTCCCGTCAGTATAATGTGTGAATATCAGACCGTTTGTTTCCCTCCCCCGACGTTCCCACGCACACTAGTTGCCAGCCACGCTCTCGCACGGTGTTGATTCAGGTTGTGAAACACGAATCGGACTACCATGACGCTGCAGTGGAAAGGTTCATCTCTAGCACACACTGTCCCACAAGGACAGCTTGTAATACCTTTAAACAGCTCCTCATAAATCACTCAACGGCCATAGGAGGATTAACTACCATGCCTCTCTTGATAGGAAGTCCCTATACAATACACCTTTAGTACAAAGTGATCAGAGATAGGGAACATTACACTCTGCTGTGCTCGAATCACTTCCCCAAAGTGAATCGCTAAGGGAGAGGACCATGCGAGTATTGAACAGTTACCCCTATGCAAGAATGACACTTCTATAGAGGCAGAATGAGTCATTGGATGTTAGGCCTGTGAATGCTCTTTTAGGATTAAGTCCCTTCCTGATATAGTGTTCCTCCCTACACCATGGAAGATACAGTGAAATTAATTGGGTCACATAGTGTATCTATATGGTTCCTAACATATATTTCACAGTTGGCAAATGTATCTGATGGTAATGTGGCAGATTCCTAATCACATGTTGGTGTGTGTGTGTGTGTGTGTGTGCCCTGCCGTTGTGTAATCAGTGTTTCACAGAACCGTTGCATGTTTTAAGGAATATGAGCTGTTTCCTGGTACGGCACAGGCAGTGGACACTAAACACGCCAAGCCTGACCATCACGGGTAGCAACGGCAAATCAACCAATCCAGAGCGATTAACTGGAATCGCAGAGACATAAACATTGATCCGACGAGATAAACTGTCTGATGCATCAGGGCCATACTTGCACACTTAAGCAAAAAATGCTGATAACTGCAGTGCATGTGTGTGTGTGCGTGTGTGTGCAACTCAATGATTTAAATTATAGATGTTCATGATTTTTATTTATCATGGGCTTTCCTTTATTGGCTCAAGAGATAGAAGTTTTATAGAACTTTATTTTTCCACAAGGGGAGATTTGGATGAAGTAAAGAGCATTTAGTGTTTATTATTATTGAGTTCTGTATAAAGTGTACTCTTACCTACCATGCCTACAGAAGATGTTACAGGCGTATATATTCCCGCAGCACCCTTTTCCAGGTTTTTCCTCTTTTCTTTCGTTAAACATTACACGGGGGGTTGAATTCATTGCAAGTGTGGGCATTGTGTAACGGGCTTGTTACCGTTATTCTCCCCGATTTATTTCAGCTCATCTTCGTGACAGATTGTCTGCTGCCTATCTGCCCGGTGCTCCTGCCTAATGTTCCGATATTTGGGGCCAGCTGTCGGCCCTCATTCCCGTTATCAAATTATTAGAGCAAATTCTGCTGAATTCCTTGTTCGGCATCACGTTTTTGATATCTCACATGCTATAGTACTATGTTTAACATCAGATAGGATTGCTTGGAGGCATTTCTGCTCCAAATCAGTCGTGTAAGAGATGCTGATGCTGCCTGAAAATTATAATTGATTTAAGGGGAGGGTATCCAGACCAGGGCATTCCTGCTCCTCCCAGAGTAGGGAGCAAGCAATTGCCCTTAGTATTCTCTCACTGTACGAGTGCACAGCAAATGAAATTTAATGATGACAGTGTTGGATCACCAGAAAATCACTGGAGGATTCCATATTTCTGGCTGATATGATAAACGGGTATGAGATTCGCTAATCTACTCCCCCAAGAAAGGGAAATAAGAGATTACTATCTGGTTTTTTTCGCCTCTCCCACTGAAAGATTTCTTCGATTTTATAGTGACTTCAGAATGAAATGATGAAAGTGCTAGAATGAACAATGAATGTGCAAGTGTCATCAGACATTTCATCTGAGCGCCCATTAGTGTGCATTATGTGTGCCGTCTCTCTCTCTCTCTCTCTGTGTGTGTGTGTGTGTGTGT